CACATCTCAACAACTCTTAATTTTTCAAACACTATTAATCATTGTGCCAAACTATGAGGATTGGTGATTTTATCGGAAAGTTTATCAGTTTTGATGAAAATCGTTTTGAAGGAAATTGGGAAGCCTACATGGGAATTGGAGTTTGTATGTAGGTAGGGAAACCTTTAAAGGTGGGTACAATTCTTAGGAAAGAGCAGGGAGTTGGTCACTTGGTGGACTTTAAATATGAAAAACTACCTAGTTTTTGTTTTGTGTGCGGAGCTATTGGACATGCTGACAGGTTTTCCCCTTGACATATGAATTTGAAAATAAAGTTTTGGAGAAATCCTTTGGGGTGGGACTCCAAGCGCGCGCGCGGGGGGGGGGGGGGGGGGGTCGCCTTTCAGGGGGAACACATGGCTGGTTCAGGAGGGATCTTCGTCAGCAGGTACGAGCATGAATCAGCAAGGAAACAAGCAGGACAAAGAGGGTGGCACGGCTAGCTGATCGGTGGTCTGGAGACAGAATTGGGTCATTACTGTGGTGGACCCCAGGAAGAATATGATAGGGGTTGCACAGGCAGCTAGCATGGAGGAGGTTCCTGGAGACCAGAAGCGTAGGAGGCTATGAGCGGAACAGGAACAGTGGAGCACAATGAACCAGGTGGAGATGACATGGCTCTGGATGAGTCAAAAAACAGGGAGGGGGCGGGTTCTGGTCATCAGGTCCGCCGAGAGTTCTAAGGAAGCTTTATGGCAAGGAAGGACATCAGGGGCCCTTAGTGGTCCTGGGGATGCAACTCAAGTTTAATAATATCGTTTTTATTTTTTTATTTTTCTTTTGGTGAGACTATGTTTATTTTCGCGTTCTATTTTTTGTTTTGTCAGACTCTTGCATTAGGATTGGGTGATGAGTGGTCTATTTTGATTGTCTAAGAAGGTGATTGACTCTAAGTATGGTTCGAAGGATGACGGTTGAGAGTGGTCCTTTTATCTGTTTGTTCCCTATCTGAATGTTGTGATATCAATATAAGTCATCTTATTCCCAAAAAAATATTGTGCCAAACTAAAAAGAAGGTAGTTAATGGGTTAAAATGGACTATAAAGTGAGAGAGCAACCTACTTTGAAGACCGACCCTAGGGGAAACCTTACATGGTCATCCCCAACCTCCTTCAAGATCTGATTTTCCGGCCTTTTCTTCTTCAATCAACAAATAGTTTTGGAAGATGTTGACATTCTCTATGCAGTGTAAGATCGAATCAAAGGATTTTCTGTGCTTTCGTTGTTTTTTAATTTCTATTTTCGAGGATTTTGGTCCGACTTCTTCATTGGCCGAGAATTTTGTCCTCTTCATGTAAGCGCGTGGTATGTTATATATTCTCCTAGCAATGTCTAGAGGATGTGTGTTTCTAATCGGTGTAATTGATCTAGTGAATTTTCATTGTTCATGATTGGTAAAGCGTTTTCAACCTTGTTGTTTTGATGCTTGAATTACTCGCCCACCGCTTGAACCACCGCCTCACTCTGGAAAGAAGAAAATTCTCAATTGGATCTCTTTTTCGGTGGCTGGTCAAACCGATGATTCAGAAAATTTATGCTCGATTGATTTTCCTTCGTTGGTTGCTGGTCAAACCAATTCTCCCTTTTCGGTGACTGGTAAAGCCGGATCTTTTAGTTGTAATTTTTTATTTTCTTTTTGGAGTAACAAACAAGAAGAGTAGCAAGACTGTTAGATTAGACTATATTATTGCGGGGTTAGTGATCTGAAAGGATTTATTAGATTTTTTCTGTTCCGTGTCTCATCCCATTTTAGTCTTAGACTATTCGTTTTCTTGTATCTTCGTTAGTCCCTCCATCCCACTAATATTATCTCGTTTTACCTTTTAGGGAAAATCTCACTAAAATTGTCTCATACCAAATTTGGTAAAATTTGTGTGACACTAAATCATTCTTATTTTATTCTTATTTTATCAATTAATATCAATCACATAAACTCACTTTATCTTAATAACCGTGTCACCCCCTTCTGTCCCAATATGAGTGGGACGGAGGTAGTATCTTTAAGGAAAAACTGTCAAATAAGCCCTCCTAGTATATCAAAAAAATCAATTACACCCTCCAACTAAATAAACACCCAATTAAGGCCACGAACTATATAAAAATGTTCAAATATCTAATTTAACAGGTTACTACCCGGTTAACAAGTTACTGGTTATGTGGCTGGTCCACTTGGCAGTTATTATTATTATTTTTTCCTTTATCTCCCATTATTTATTCTTCCACCTCGTCCTGTCCACCCTTCTTCATCTTTCAACCAGTCAACCACCCTGCTTCAACTTTTCTTTTTTCATTTTCTTCTTCCACCTACAAGCAACTAAAATCGTCGACCCTTTGCAGTTAATTGTCCTCGATGAATTCACCGTGACCTCATCCCTTCCTTCAAAACGCCTTTTGGAATCCCCCTATTTGGAGATGCCTCTTCACTTGCATCTGTTAATATATATGTCCTAGCGACAATCACCTTTTAGAGATATATGTACTTGATCACATTCAGTTTTATATATTCGATATATGCGGTATTACACATTGATGATTAAGTATTTTGATTGTCAATATCTTATTCATAATTGTGTTCCCTTGGACTTATGTTATCAATAAGTAAGTGGGATCTAATATGATATCACATAAGGTCCTAAAATAGCCCCAATCAATGATCATCAAGAATGGGATATTGATGATATGCGATAAGATTGGTATGTGGACTGCATCAAACTTTTAGAAAGTATAGTTGATCTCACAACTATGAGTTCCTGTAATTCATGAGGGTCACATAGATATTTTAGAGAATATTGGCATACCCACCGAGAAACCATTTGATAAGTTCTATTCATGTGTCTATGGGATTATCGGCGTATAGAGTAGTGTAATAATCCTCCGACTTGAGGTCAATACGTACTACATGTGCGGAGTGATGTACTTTGACCATGACCAACGCTTGCACTCCAATCGGGGTAGATACGGCATGTGTTGGGTGCATCACGAAGCACATGGAGTAGTAGTTGAGCCAAGAAAGGATTCATTCCTCATAATAGATTAAGAGAGAACATTCTACTTCTCATATATAGATGGATCATAAAGTCATTGGCCAATGCAAAGATATATTCGTTTTGGGTATCGAATATGATCGTAATGGATCATCTAGAAAGATTGAGAGACAGAGACTGAGTTATTGGAATAGACACAATATCATGTTCTAGACTTAGTTGAATGTTCGTTTGAATGAAAGGACCGTATCACTATGAGCTCTATATTACAGGGAGTTTGTATAGTCCTCACAAACGTCCTTATATATTAAGTTTGTCTGGAGAATCGTCTAGGGATTCGCTAAGACCTTAATTTGATTAGTGCTTAATATATAAGGCCCTATGGGTCACACAACAAGTGATTATACCTTTCGATTGAATTGTTAGAAGGAATTAAATATTATTAATTGGATTAAATAATATTTAATTTGTAATACTGAAAATGAATTAAATATTAATTAGATTAAACATATTTAATTCATGAAGCTGAAGGAGAGTTCTATTTGATAGAATTAATTAAGTAAGATAAATTTGATTTATCATACTTAAATAAGATGTATTTATTATTAAATAAAGTAGATATTTTCTTTTGTAATTTTGAATTAAAAGAAAAGTAAATAAAATAAATATGAATATATAATAATTAGAAAGTGGCGTGCAGCCACATCTCAATTATTATTATTATTATTTGGTTTTGTTTTATCTACTTATTTAATTAATAAGGAGTATTGGTCCTGTTAGGATTAGAACTCATTAATGAAGAACACTTTCATTGTGATTGGGAAACTAGTTTAGAACAAGTATAAATACACCCTCCTCCTTCATAATTTATAGACCAGTTTTTAGATTCAGTATTACCAGTTTATTTCCCCGCAAAGAGATTTCCTAGCCTTTCTCTTAGGGAGATCTAACCGTTCTTTCGGAGAGGAGAAATCACGTGGATACCTAAGGTCAAGGATTATAACCGCTAGGCTGGAAGATCTGTAAGTTCTAACTCAGATCTGTTATAATTATCATATTCGTTATTTTGTCATAACCAGGAAAGATCTGTTTGGGAAAATTTTAAACTTCCGTTGCCGTACTTTCGAGGTACGTTACATAAATTTCCTAACAGCATCTCCCCATGGCGAAGGAAATCGATCGAGGCCTTGGTTGCCTTTGTTGTTAATTGTTGTTGAGGAAGTCTCCTTGCTTGCAGTCACCAAGGCTTCTCACTCCACGCCAGGAAGAAGACGACCAGTGCGACTCCAGCTCCGGCCAGAAAGAGACCCAACCTCCTTCCTTTCATGACTTCCGCCCAATTAGTTACGCCGGTGGAAGCGCCGTAGGGGACCCTAGCTCCAGTGACGCGCCGGCGACGACCTGAATCTCAGTCGGAATAATCCGCCCCCCCCTATTCACGACCCCATTTTCGAAGATTGTTTTCTGTGATTCGCTTTAGTGGGAGGAAGTAGATACCATATGAGGAGAAAAATGTAGAAAAGAAAGAAGGAAAGAAACGTAGACAAAAGAAAATAGAAGGGGAGAAAAGGTCGGGTGGGGGAGAATACAGGGCAGAAAAATTGGAGAGAAATAAGGAAAAGAAGAAAGAAAATGAAAAAAAAGTCAAAAAACTTGTTTAAGATGGTGAGGTGGCAAAAGAGAGGAGGGAATGTGTGGGGCCGGAGCAAAAAATTGACAGATTGGTAGTCACGTGTACCTAGTTACCGGTTAACCGGGTAGTAACCTGTTAAATTAGATATTTGAACATTTTTATATAGTTCGTGACCTTGATTGGGTGTTTATTTAGTTGGGGGGTGTAATTGACTTTTTTGATATACTAGGAGGACTTATTTGACAGTTTTTCCTATATTTAATGATAAATTAGTTATTTGATTTTCAAAAAAATGGTAATGGGTTATGATTGAGAAAATGCTGCTTGTTTAGTTTAGGGCTCAATCTACCCAGCGTATTGGGCCAAAAGTTGCCCACTATTATGCGTTGCAAACCCACGCGCTGCTCCACTCCCCTTTGCCGGTGGATCAGAGTGTGTGCAGACGGCAGCTTAAAATCCTTGCCGCCCGTGCACAGTCTTAAGCTCCCTCCGGCCAGCCACTAAATTTTCTCTATATAAACGCGTAGCCATATCTGCGTTCTGAAAAAAGTAAAGAATTGGGACGTGATATGGCAATCTCTTTGGATAGTGTTAGGGACAAGAATTTGATGCAGCTGAAGAAGCTCAACACCGCCCTCTTCCCTGTTCGCTACAACGACAAGTACTACACCGATGCACTCGCTTCCGCCGAATTCACCAAGCTAGGTCAGCTCTTTCTTCTTTCCTATTACTTTCGTCCTTCATCAGGCCAGATTTTCTCCTTCCTTTACTGATTTGGGGACAATAAAAACAAATCTTTGTTTTTTACTCGATCACGCTTCTGGGTATTTATGATATTTCTGTTCTCAAATCGGTATAAAGAATTTAGGAGTATATGCATGTTAATATAACATTATATGGTCAATACAGTTTTCGGATTTTTCCTTATTTGGCTAATAAGGCAGGGAGTCTTCCTATAAATGCCACTGTGTTCTAGTAACCATTGCTTACAGTTTTCAGTTTACACTCAGTTTATGGTTCTCTTTGCTCATTATATTGGTATAAGTTTTCACTTTTCAGTAATACAAGGGGTTGAGGAAACACAGATGGTATTCTTAAATTCTTAAATTTATTTTCTTGGATACAAAGAATACTAAATTTATAAATGTGCATAGTCATTAAGGGCTTTTTTTAAGTTGCTGTTTTAGGGGAAAAAAGTTATGGCTGACTTGCTAATGTTAGATAGTGTCTAATACTTAAATGTAGCGGTTTCTGGATGTCTTAAACTACTTTTTAATGCTTCCAGTTATCCTCTGTTTGCCAAGGATTTCTATTTCTTTTCCATTTACCATATCTTTTTATCAACACACTCACATTATGTTATAGAAGCCCATATCTAAATACTCTACATTGGTAGACTTCTACTGATTATGCTTATTGAATGACACAACATGCCCTGCAAGTTGGTGACTTGTTGGAGTAGTAAGTTAAATCGGTACTTGGTGCCTATTTGGTCAAGGGCAGAGTAGGAGTAGGAGTGGGAGGGAGTGTAGGACCAATTACTAGGTGATGAATCGGTCCTCTACGAACTTTTTTTAATACAAACCAACAACAAACAACAACATTAACCCAGTGCCGCAAAGGCTCTCACCTATGGTGGGTACGGGGTCAGATGTACGCAACGTTACCCTGTACTAAAGCACAAAGACATTGTTTCCGGATGATCCATGATGAAAACCACGTCGAAAATTGAGTGAACTGAATACTGCTTCATAACAAAGAAGCACAAACAGTTTAGTGAGCAATTTTTCTTTTATCTACTAACTTTTTTAATATGTTACAAAATTTATTAGTGGATCAGTTGGCTGTTGCGGTAATAGTGGCTGCTATAGTGTGCGCAGTAGCGGTTGTTGCGGACGCTATAGCGGCACTACTGAAATTTGGATGGTCTGCACAAGATTTTTTGTGATCTTTTTGGGTTTTATCAGTTTTAAAGGGGTAAAGTGGGGTGTTAAAAATAAAAAGTAACAATAATATTACCCTTCCAAGTCATAAAACTCATCCCAATTTTTTTAAAATATATCGTTTCTTCTATAGTTCTTTAAGGACTACTGGCGCAGCTTAGCTAGAAGCTTACAAAATCGTACAGGAGATAATCGTTACCTTGCTTTGCAGTGGGATAGTTTCCAAGATTTAAAAGACAAGAAGAGTCACATGAGATTGGTACGTTAGAATATATAAATATGATGAAGATTGAAACTAAGAGTCCGTTTGGTAACACTGAAAATCTGAAATTGGCTGAATCAGTTGATTTTGTTGAAATCTATGAAGTTCTGGCTGGATTGACTGGTTATGCTGATTTAAGAAAAAATTGTACTAGTGTTTAAAATATACTTCATTAATAAAATAAAAAAAATTATATGAAAAATAGCTAAATGGTACTCTACAGTTACTTCAGCCAATACTAGAAAAGCAACTTCAAGCTTACTTATTTTGTTTATTACACAATTCAGTGCGTGAAGTCAAAAGTTACGTGTTTGGTGAATGAGTTGGCGGATAAGGCTAATAAGCCAAAAAACAGGTGACCAAACAGGCTCTAAATAACACTCATCATATTTTGGATATCATATATGTATCTAATGTAATTGTATGCATAAATATAATTATGTATTCTACATATGAGGTGCATGAATAGTTGTCATATCAGTTATACTGCTATAGCGTTTTTATGGTAGGCCGTTTCACTCCACTATGCTAAATAAATCCAAATAAGACTTCTCAGAAGAATTTACTACTGCATTTACTATTGCACATTACTTATATATTAGTATATATTAACAAATATTCCTAGTAAGAAGTTTAAGAAGAAGAAACAAATTGAAGACATGAAGAACTCACCGAGACATATAGCCTTTGTGTGAAATCCTAAATGTTAATACTTCCAAACCGTAAACTTTGTGATGTTCATTTTCCTTTTGCCAAAACTAAGTCGCTATTTTTTTCAATTCCCAATCTCCATTTACAATCTTTCAAAAAAAGGAACATAAAAGTTAAATGTTAGTACGCCCAAGTCACTGGGCGTGTAAAATGAATCACCAAGTCATGAAAATCGCTGAGCGCTCGGCGTTTAACTCAGGAATTTGGAACTGAACAAGTAGGCAAGCTACTCAGCCAGGTGTATGTTCAAGTAGGGAGTAATCGACGAGTACTCACCAGTTAAATAACATAGAGTTTGTGTGCTCGTTGTTAAGCTTACCAGAATATAATTGCTTGCCGGAAATTAATTAGCTTTGAGACTATATTAAGTCCTGAAGTTCAATTCTAAGTTCAATTCTAAAAGGTCAACATAATAGAAAGAATAATCCAAAACTATAGTTTGTTTAATCATAGGTGGCTAGTGTGGTATGACTCAACACTATTTGTTGCAATCATGATTATGAATAATGCTCATTTGTATACTCAAATAAATTTACCAGAGTTAACATTGGTAACATTGATGTCCCACTCAGGTGCTAATGTCGGAAAGAAGTAGCCAAATTGGTTCAATATGCGACATAACAAATATGTGTTGCTATGTTTTTTTGCATGAATTCATAGCATTAAATACTTTTTATCAATTAATTGAATCTATAAATGCCGTAAATGTCATTTAGATAATTAAGATATTGCCGCATAGTAAAATATTCATTTAAATGCTGAATATATTTGCATTTTCTATTGTTTTTGTCTCATGCAGCATACTACAGTGACATTTGTGTTGGTGCAATTGCATGTCGGCTTGAGAAAAAGGAAGGAGGTGCTGTTCGTGTATACATAATGACATTGGGTGTTTTGGCTCCTTATCGTGGATTAGGTGTGGGTAAGCAATCTATATATTATACTCTGCTCAATATGTACTTCTCTCTATTACTGATGTGCGTAAATTAAATCAAGAGCCTATTTTAGGCGAAACTGTTCTTCACATCTTCTAAACTCCCCTCTTGATAAATTATATGTTGAGATTATTCTTTTGAGTTTTGACTGTTGACTTGATCAACTTTTTATAGTGTCTATTTCACTTTTTCAATTCGCTTGTTTCACTTATCAAATTGAAGACAAAAAGCATCGTGGGGTTGGACATGTTTTCTTGGCTTGTCTAGTACTCGCTTCGTCCCATTTTACCTGTCGTACTTTTCTTTTTGGGTTGTCCCAAAATAAGTGTCACATTTTCTCTTTGGAAAGAAGTATATGGTCTACAACATTTCCCTTTATTATACTCCATTCTCAATCACAATTTTTACTTTTTCAATCACTTTATTAATAATTTTGTCAAAAAAAAGTAGGACACATAAAATGGGACAGAATTAGTATGAATTAGTGACCGGTCTCTTAACATTTGTAGTCTAATCAGGTATGGACTGTACGGTTTAATCTTTACGTGGAATTATCTTGTCTGAAATATAATCACTTGATATATCGTTCTTTCTAGTTTGATTCGAATCTTTGTGGTGTAGTCCCAATATTTTTGGGATCATTTTTGGTGTAGTCTTAACCGGAGTACAAGCATCTCTTTACTAGAGTGCACAACTTTTACTTACCTCTCGTCTGGAGAATTTCTTTCTTGAATGTTTGGTTTTTTGACTTTTTGGAGCTTATAAATGATTTAGTCTTTCAAATTTCTTTGCACTTGATATAGTCCTCAACTATGAATTTCAGATCCAATGTAATCTTTATACGTATTTGGTTGTTCCTTGTACATGTGTCTAGTTCTACTATTTTAGTTCACTAAATATTAACCCAATTCAGACTCAATGTAATCCTTGAACATATTTGGTTAGGTAAAAATGTCAAATAGGTCCATGTACTTTTATGAAAAAGTCAATTGAGTCCTACTACTTTTAAGCGAATCAATTAGGTCCACGAAGTATCAAAAATTGATCAAATTAGCCATTTTCTAGGTAATGATCTGGTTGCCCGGTTGCGGATGACGCGGATGTCCATGTATGTCCATCTCTCTTTTTTTTTTATTAATTTCTCTTCTTTTTAAAAAATTTTGAATTCTTTTCCTTTTTTCTTTCCCCCCTTCTTTTCCTTTTTCTCCCACTTCCCCTCCGCACTTTCTTCTCCCGCAGGCCCCATCTGCATTTCCTTTCAATTTATTTTCTTTCTTCTCTGGCGAGATTTCAGACCTCCACCTCCGGCGTGACAGCCTCCATCTCCGACTGCTCCACCACAGAGATCTCTGCCGCCACCACCCACGTACCCACCACGCATCTCCGCCGCCCCTATCTACATACCCACCGGCCACCACCTTAGGGGGTCCACCTTCACCGTCCGGCGCCGTTACCCCATGTCCACCACCTCTGCCGCCCCTACCTCCATACCCACCACTTCCACCGTGACGGTTCCCCTACATACATACCCACCATCTCCGCTGCCCCTACCTTCATACCCTCCACCTCCAATTCGTCGCCCCTACCTCCGTATACCTTCCATAGTCACAGCCTCCCACATTCTCATCCCCTTCTATGTCCAGTGATGGAGACCAAACAAGAGCAAGGAGGGATTGAGAGGTGAAAGAAATAAAAAAAGAAATATGAAAGAAAAAAGAAAGAAAATGAAATGAAGAAATGGTCAAATGGGGAAGAACGGGGTCAGAAGTCTGTGGCGGGGAGTGAAGAGAAATAGAAAGGAGAAAGGAAAAAGAAAAACTAAAAGAAAACTAAAAAATACAAAACACTAAAAAAAACAACCAGCTGGATGTCCACGTCACCAGTCAACCGGGAAACCGGATCATTACCGGTAAAATAGTTAATTTGATCAATTTTTAGCACTTTGTGTATAATTGATTCGCGTAAAAGTAGTAGGATTCAATTGACTTTTTCGTAAAAGTACATGAACCTATTTGACAGTTTTCTCTATTTGGTTATGAATGTGAATTGTATTTTTATGTAGACTAAGTATGCTTTAATTGGACTGGTTGCCGTGCTATATTAGATTTAAAGAGACCAGATTAGAGCAGACTTTGAAAATTGTAAAATACACATAAAAGACATCTATCACATCCATCATACCAGACCAGACTTAAACACACCATATCAGACCAGATTAGATCAGAATATATCAGCCAATTAAAAGCATCCTAAATCTTAGTTTGGTCCTCCTCAACTATGTAATTTGGACCCAATCTAGTCCGAAAGATATGAAATTTCCCTTCTTAGTTATAGATAATAAATGTATGAGGACTAAATTGAGCCTAAGTTGCATAGTCGAGGACCAAGTTGTGTCCAAAAGACGGCTCCACATCTTTTTTTTTTCCGGTAGGCAAGACGGCTCCACATCAAACCAAGTAATATACTACTCCCTCCGTCCCAATTTGATAGTCTCATTTCTTTTAAGCACAAGTTTTAATAAAGTGATTGAAAAGGTAAAAGTTGTGGTTTAGATTTGAGTATAATAAAGTGAAATGATATGGACCACATCTTTCTTTCCAAAAGAGGAAACATGACCATCATTTTGGGACATCCCAAAAAGGAAATACAGGACTATCATTTTGGGACGGAGGGAGTAGTATATAATAAGTAATGGTGTAGGGACTAAATTAGTTTTTTTTAGAACCAAGAAAAATTTTCGATGACAAACGGAAGAAAGCAAAATGAACCAAATGATTGAAATATTATTGGTAAATTCAAGTGTTCTTTTTGTTTATCCACGATTAATCTTTTAATCAATTACCTGCAGGTTCAAAGCTGTTGAACCATGTGCTTGATCTTTGTGCTAAGCAGAATATCAGTGAGATTTACTTGCACGTCCAGACAAATAACGATGATGCCATCAAATTTTACCAAAATTTTGGGTTTGGGATTACAGAGACCATCCAAAATTATTACACAAACATTACACCCCCAGACTGCTACGTTGTGACCAAATTCATCGCCCAAACCCAGGCAAATAAAAAGCTTCAGATTTTCCAGTCATAGAGTTTCCAAAACTTGTGCTTGGCTGCTTGCTATTCTTTTCAAGGGGAATGCACTTGTTTTTCTTTGTTGACTCTCGTGTAAGAAAACTGTATTCTGAAGAGTTAGCATTGTAGAAGAAACACGATTTTGATCCATTCGGCCTGAATGATTCAGGTATGGCCTAAAGAATATGTACTCGTGTGTTTTATGCATACTAACAGTTGAATATATTAATTGACAGAAATATTGCATCTTTATTTTTAGGAAAAATTATCAAATAAACCCTTCTATTTATATTCAAAAAGTCAATTAAACATTCATACTCAATTATCACGCAATCAAGCCTTCACTTTAAAAAACACTCGAATCATACTTTTGCATGGTAAAAAACTGATCATCAACTCCATCAAGTCAATTTGCAAATATGGCGATCTAGGTGGCTAATGTCATTTTTCTTTTTCTTTCTTTTTATTTCTCCTATCATTCTCCACATTTGCTCCCCGTGGCTCTCTATGTTTCATCCAGCTCCCCCTTCTCTTATATATCCATCCGTATTTTAAAGATGGACCAGCACTGGGTCGAGCGAGGCTCACGCCTAAAAATTTCAGGCCCAGTACCGGCCCGGGTTTGTACCGGGGCCGGGCTCCAAGACAGGATGGGTAATAAATTAAAAAAATTGTGCAATCGGGCCCGGGACCGGCCCAAGCCCGGTCGGGGCGGGCCCAAAAAAGGAGCCCGAAGCCCACCCTTATAGCCACCGGGCCAGGACCAGGCCTATACATAAGCGGCCCGGCCCGGCCTTAACAATTCTGGACCTAGCTTGACCCGTCCCAATCCATCCCTACTTTGATACATCATTTAGGAGGAAAGTAGTAAGGTTAACGAATAATGTAGAAAAAGTACAAGAGAAAATGTAAAAATATGAAATACAAGATAAAAGAAAAAAAGTAAGGAAAATTGAGTATTTTAAACGGAATTTTTGTCTTCCCTTTAAAATCATTAAGTGTAGATTATATCACAAAGTTTGCGCTTAAAATCAACCAGAAGGTGAATTAAAACGCAGTGTTTTTGAATAATTTATTTAACTGACTTCCCCGTTGAATTTTACATTGAAATTTTATGGACATAATTTGCACTTTAAAAAGAATATGCTCACAAAACTTCATAAAAACGTTCCACCAGAAAGAACCTCAAATGGAGGCGGTCGAACGACTGTTCCGGTCAGGCCTCATGATAGAAACATTTTTTTCTGTATATATAAATATAAATATAAAGATATGGTGTTCAAATACAAAGAGGTCCTTCCATGCAAAGTGAGAATAAATCTTGTACATTCATTTTCACATATAGGTCAAAATGAGCCAACAATGCACTATATTTTGTCAAAAATATGGTGGCAATTTCGTAAATAAACCGAAGTTTTTTGCCACCGCGAAAAAAAGAAACAAAAACATGCAATAGTGCAACGCGTTGAGAGAAAAGTGCAACCGTTCACACGTTGCACGAGAGCATTTTTTTATTTGAACTCTCCCCTGGTGTGGATAAATAAAAAATGACTTAACATGTAAAATACGGAATATTCACTTTTGTAGGTAGAGTACCTTTTCAAGTTTATAAAAAAAATCGCTTTTCTAGTCAGGTAGTGTACCTTTTCAAGTATAAAAATTTCGCTTATTTACAAAATTATCATTGCGTGTTTCTTAAAAAAATGCATTTTTTACAATTGCTTAAAGGCTAGTAGCTTATCATACAAGTGCAAAAGAGGTGATTATAACTACATTTCGCACTTTTCAGCGTTAAGAATGTTATTTTATTTCACCCACATTGTACACACATATAGGTGTGTGTGTGTTTTTGAATGGGTGGTCAGGATAAGATTCGACATTGTGGAAGCGCTATTTTCGCTTTTAGGATTTATTTGCTTTTGAGAGTTGTTAATAGAAAAATCCTAACTACTTGAGGTATATACTACTTGGGGGCTTAAAAACTATTTTCGCTTTTAGGATTTATTTCCCATTTGGTGGTCGGTGAGATTTGAGATTCCAAGGTGAACCATGGATGATGTTGTGACATACTTGTTCACTACATTCGAGTAATCTTGATTTTGTCCATCTATTTTAAAAAGAACAAGACATTTAGATTTTTAATGATTTTGATATTCTTTTATTAAAAGCTTTACAAAGAATATTTTACCCCCTTAGTGAGATGTGAATTATTTAAAGTTTAAAAATATTACTTTTGATTACAAATGTTTTGTTGGGTTAATGAAAATCATTTAAAAAATTTATATGTTATTTTAGCTAAAATTGATATTCCCTTCAATTTGTCCCGTATTAATTAATCTTTCAACCTTCTTTTTCGTTCATCCTAAAATAATGTGGCCTTCCTTCCCTAAACAAAGAGTAAAGGGCACACTATTTTCAATGGGAATCACAATATTTCTTATTTGAAAAAATCAATTTCAGATGATCTTTTTATATCTGAATTTTTTTTATCTGATTTGTTTGAATGTATATTAATTGTTAAGCTCTATTTTGGTTTGATTTGGATCTTTTAATTTGATTGAATTGAATCTTCATTTTCCTGCAAAGTAAGGAGATGGATGGATTGAGGACAACACAAAGTTGCACTCTTCTAATAAACCACCCACCCACTTATCTGAAACTTAATCGGTCAATGATGATGAAGTGCAGTCAAATATATGTCCTCCTACAAGTGTGTTGTGCGGCAGATTATGTTTGATGAAGCTTGGGCATGTCATTTTCTTTTGTGAGTTATGCAATGTATTAGTAATGTTGTTTTCAAGTAATGTAAACTTAAGCGATACATAACATATGGTGTTATGACTTTTGCCATATCCGATCTGATATTTTGATGTAATGTAAACTGAAGTGATATATATAATATATGGTGTTGTTTCACCATATCTGATGTTTTTGACTTGATATTCTCGTGTAGTTGGCTGAAGTCTGAGTTCAATTATTCTAATGGGTTGGACTTCATTTTCTGATGTAGTAGTGAAGTAATGTCAATTGACAATCATGAAAAAATGTGTTTCTGCTGCCATAGTGCCATGGCAAATCGGTGCGACCTTGTGGCTTTCGATACCGACCTCAGATGATGATGTCGTAATTTCATTTCTCGCACCCCAATTTTCCCAGGTTACTTCGTTTTAGCAGATGCTGGAAGCGATACGGCGTATCAGAAAACTGGTCTTTAGCATACGCCAGAAGCGATACGACATATTAGAAAAATGGTTTGGTCTCGTCGGTGGCATCTTTCGCAAAAGCAGCCTATCAAATTCTTCCTCCTTTCGTAAATAAATGAAACTGTCAACATTTCACACTTGTCGAGACACAACTTTGACCATTAATATGTATAAATTTATATTAGTTAAAAAATTAAAAAAAATCGACATTGAAAATTTACAATGAGACAAATTTAACAATATTTTTTCATAAAAATATATTCACACATTAATAAATAAAACGTAATCAAAGTAGAACATGTGAATAGTGTAAAATTACATACGTTTCATTTATTTAAGAACGGAGGAAGTAACTCGTTTGGGAATGACCTCTTTTGCAATAAACTAATTTTTTATAAAGAAAGTGATGTGGATTAAACTACTAATTTGATGGTGCTAGACTGCTAGTTGTGGAATGCACCAAAACATTCTCTAATGTAAATGTACCAAAAAATTTGTTATATTTTAAATAAATTTTGGTAAACCTCGAATAAATAAAAAATGGATGACACCAAATCCTTGAGTGTCCCAGCACCCATCAAACAGTTAACTAGGAGAAACTCTCAATACGGTATTTGCAGAAAGTCTATGCATTTTTATATAGTAATCTGTTAGTACAGTTGTCGATCGAGACTTACTCCTTATAGCACCCATATCCCTAGTTAGATTTTTTCCGTTTTAAACGCGTTTTAAACGCGTACCATTTTTTTGAACAAAAAAACACGTTTAAAACGAAAAATAATGTTGGTCCGTTTAAAAAGGAAAAATACTCCTACTTCCCGTATTAAACGTATTTTTCTCGTGTTTTACTAAAAATAGAAACATGAATTGATCAATTGAATAAACGCATTAAATGCATATGAGATCAACAATAGTGTAAATCCAAAAGAAAAGCTCCTCTTTGTGACCTCATGTTTTTGTATTGTTACAATACAATTATTAAATACTAAAATTAATTGCAAAATCATGTCATGGACTTAATTACTATTTTTATTTTTGTCATCGACTTATACAATTATGAATTATTCTTTTATGTAGTAATGATATTTGCTACTTGAATATGTGTATACTTTTATTTCTTTTTACTATATATGTTCTTTTCTAAAGTATATAATTTAAATGTTCAAAATAGTTACCGTATTTTTTGTCCGAATTTTTGTAACAGATACCGTATTATACACGTATACGTATTTACACGTTTTTTAAAAGTCAACGTTTTTTAAAACGATTTTTTGACCAGCTTTTCATTAATCTTATCGAATAAAACGCGTAAGTATTAAACCTCGTTTAATTCCCGTACCGTATTTAACTAACTATGTCTATATCTACTCTAAGCTATGCCTATCTCGTGAAGTAAAATTATTGTAAGAGAGATGGAGGCCAGAGGGAGGAAGAGGGAGGAAGATGGTCAACAAACGGTAACTTTTTTATTTTATACTTTTCCGTAATAAAAAAAGAGAGAAATGCCAGGACTTCATTTTCTATACTTTGTAGTTCCAAACAAAACTATCTACGTAGACAATATGTGCCAATGAAGTACCCAAAATACAGTCGTTATACCGTATGACTGGTATACGGTGAGCGCTGTATACCGTCATACGGTTTTTATAAAATTTATATTAACTTTTTTTATTTTTCTTGATCTTTCAAATGAGACCAATATTGCCTATGAAATTTTAACATATTATTGAACTATTATATTAACCTATGTAAAATATGTAACTTTATGTGTAGAAATATGTAACTCACGTCCAGTCAGGCCAAATACAACTCGTGTGTATAAATATGTAATTCTACGTGTAAAAATATGTAACTTTACGTAAAAAAATATGTAACTCGCGTTCAGACAGGTCAAATGTAACTCGTGTGTATAAATATGTAACTCGCGTATATAAATATGTAACTTGCTTATAAAAAGATGTAACTCACTCATAAAAAGATGTAACTCAATGTATTATTAAATGTAACTGAGGCCACTGATCCACTCCCAAACATATTCGATCTTCTATTTCACAAACCTATCATCTCCCTGCAATTCATATGCAACTCGTGTGTATATATATGTAACTTGCGTGTAGCAATATGTAACTTTACGTGTAAAAATAAGTAACTTTACGTATAAAAATATGTAACTCACATGTATAAATACATAATACTATAAATTTTTTATATACACAATTTTAAGATAAAATGTGATTTACACAATTATTTTTCTAAATTAAATTTAGTTCGATTTTCCTTATAATCCAATACTCATTAATATAATAGTTCGATAAGTTCTTAAAATTACATAAGCAATATTGGTCTCATTTGAAAGATCGTGAAAAATAAAAAAAGTTGATATAAATTTTATAAAAATCAGATCAAAAATAAAAAAGTTATCATCATTTTTTAACAACAAAAGCAAAAAAAAAAGAAACAAGACACCGCTACGTCGTTTTGAAACCGGACTCACCATCCTCATTTATGTAAAAGAAGAGCCATGTTATGATTTCTGGCCATTTTGGTGTTCTATTGATGTGATTTAACAGGGGTAACCAGTAGAAGGGCCCCACATTCGTGCGTACACCGAAGACAGAATAATACTAATAATAGAATCACGAGTTCACACTTGAGCCTCCTCCTCCATCCCATCCCATGCACCCACCCATTTTATACATCTCCAGCAGACCAGACCGGACCACAACTCATCTCATTTCCTTTAGGTTTCTCTCCGCCCGCCTCTTCGTGGGCTTCTGCATTCCACCAAGGTTGCTCTCTTTTCTCATCTCGCTCTTTCCTATATGCAAACTTATCTCTTATGTTTTTTCCTGGGTATGTTTATTTCATTGTGCTTATGATTTTATGCATCGGATCTTCACCTGGATGCCAATGCTGATGTTTCACATTAAATCCTTGAGAAAATCTATCCACTGATTCATTTATCTTATTTTTCTTCTTAAATACAAGCTCCTGCAAAAAAATTGGAACATATTTACCTTTTCCATTGGTACGGCCATGAGATTCATGGCTGCAGAAAACTTTTTTAGTTTGGTGAGAAGTTAATTGCTCTTAAATACCCATCACATTTATTTATTATACCCCAAAAAAGCGAATCATCTTTGATTTCTATCGTTAGATCCGTTCTGTAATCTGGAATTTCTTTAATTGCAACTTTGCCCAGATCTTGGATTGAATGGATTCTCCCCCTTTTTGGGAACTATTTTGAATTTTGACTAAAACAGTGGATTAATTCACTTTATAAACACAGCAGTATTTTTTTATATTTGTGTGTGCGCTTGCAGGAAATTGAAATTGAATCCGAGAATGAATGCAGCAGCTCCATCATCGTCATCGTCAAGAAAGCTGCCTGATTTCAAACAATCTGTGAAATTGAAGTATGTGAAGCTAGGTTACCACTACCTCATAACCCATGGGATGTACCTATGTTTATCCCCCCTTGTAGTGGTTATCGCAGCCCAGCTATCCACATTCTCCCTGAGAGATCTATGTGTTCTGTGGGATCATCTAAGATTCAATCTAATTTCCGTCATAATTTGCTCAACCCTTTTAGTGTTCTTATCCACCCTTTATTTCCTCACCCGTCCCCGCCCAGTCTACCTAGTGAATTTCTCATGTTATAAACCCGAAGAGGCCAGGAAGTGCACCAGACAGATCTTCATGGAGAGGTCCCGCTTGACGGGATCGTTCTCTGATGATAACCTTGAGTTCCAGAGGAAGATTCTAGAACGGTCTGGTCTCGGTGAATCTACTTACCTTCCGGAAGCTGTCTTGAGGGTGCCACCTAATCCTTGCATGGCGGAAGCCAGAAAGGAAGCCGAGACCGTCATGTTTGGCGCCATCGATGAGCTTCTTGCAAAAACCTGTGTTAACCCTAAAGATATTGGGATCTTAGTGGTGAATTGCAGTTTGTTCAATCCGACCCCTTCCTTGTCTGCTATGATTGTGAACCACTACAAGCTTCGCGGGAATATTGTTAGCTATAACCTTGGGGGCATGGGCTGTAGTGCCGGTTTGATCTCCATTGATCTCGCCAAGGATCTCCTTCAGGTCCACCCAAATACCTATGCTTTGGTACTCAGCATGGAAAACATCACATTGAATTGGTATTTCGGGAACAAGAAGTCGATGCTTCTCCCAAACTGTTTGTTTCGGATGGGTGGGTCTGCAATTCTGCTTTCAAACAAGAGCCGTGACCGGAGGCGGTCCAAATACCAGTTGGTCCATACGGTCCGGACCCACAAGGGCTCGGATGACAAATGCTTTGCTTGCATCACTCAACATGAGGATGAGGACGGTAAAGTGGGGGTTTCTCTCTCGAAAGAACTTATGGCAGTGGCAGGGGACGCCCTGAAGACGAATATAACGACCCTGGGTCCCCTGGTTCTGCCCATGTCTGAGCAGCTGCTCTTCTTTGCAACTTTGGTCGCTCGGAAGATGCTGAAGATGAAGAAGATTAAGCCTTACATCCCCGACTTCAAGCTGGCGTTCGAGCACTTCTGCATACACGCGGGTGGGAGGGCGGTTTTGGATGAATTGGAGAAAAATCTGCAGCTTTCTGATTGGCATATGGAGCCTTCGAGGATGACATTATACAGGTTTGGGAACACGTCGAGCAGCTCCCTATGGTATGAGCTGGCTTACTCGGAATCCAAGGGGAGGATCCGGAAGGGGGATAGGACTTGGCAGATTGCGTTCGGGTCAGGGTTCAAGTGTAACAGTGCTGTTTGGAAGGCTTTGCGGACTATAAAACCGGCTCATGAGAAGAATCCGTGGATGGATGAGATTGGCCAATTCCCCGTTGAAGTTCCTAGAGTTTCCAAATTGGAATAGTTTCATGGAGAAGAAGTTAGTTCTCTATCTGTCCATCTATCTATATATAAATATATTCTTTGTTTCTTTGACATGGTTGTGACTCTGCATCCTTGAATAACTGGAGGGGCATTAACTCTCGGTTGGTAAGTAAGGTGGAATATATCCAGTTCTTATTCTTATATCTTAATTTCTCCAATTCGAATTGGTAGTGGTAGTAGTAGCATCACTGTGAAAAGCTTGTTATGACTTTTAGTGTCATAAATGTTTCATTGGTTTGGATGGATATCGGTTCAAACACAGGAAGCAGAACTGAGAGTTAGCCTTGTTCATGAATGTAGTATGTTATTGATGCATATTATATGCGTGTTCTTGGACGGGGCCAATGGTTGGATGGATATTTCACTTCACATTCATTCATTTGGCAATGCTAATCAATTTTGCTCTGAAATTACTGAAGTTGAGTGAATATGGGATGCCGTTTTTTGATGCTCCCTTTATGGCCTACTGGTCTCTCCGGATGCTTTTGTAGCCCTTCTCTGGTGTGAATATTAGCCATTTCTCTACTGCCGAAATAAGATCTTCTTCATCACTAGAATCTAGTCGTGACCATAAATAGTTCTTCATCGATAATGGTCAAATGGAATTGAATCTACTCTGACAACTGAATCATCTTCTAGTTGGGATATTCATTTTACGTGGAGAAGCAAATGAATTATTCCGTATAAGTTAAATTTGATCTCATTCCTCCAAAGTTTTTATTACTCCGTAGTAGTGTTTCTAAAATATTGTATTAACAACAAGTCAATGGATTACAAAGAGTTCAAAGAAACACCTTTGTGTTAATGTAGGTTTTAAAATCACATGAAACATGCATGATAAGCGAGTGTTATACCTATTTATGTCTTCCTGTAAGCAAGCAATTTTAAAGATTTATTCAAGAAAAGAATCAAGAATTGCAAAAATATCAACTGTTCTAGCAGAAGTCTGTGAAAAAGAAAACAAATACTCCGTACCAAAGAGTTACAATCCTCCATTTCTCATACCTATCACGCCTTCGTGTTTTGCAAAAGTCAAACAACTAGACGCCAAATGTTTTCAAGCATATTTTCAATAGAGAACTTGAAAATGATTTAGGACATTAAATCCTTCCAACTATAAAAGAGGTAATCAGTTTTAAAATATAAACACTATAGAAATCATTTTTTCTTAATATTAAATAGAAAGAACAAAATAAATTTTATAAAGTGACAAAAGTACAGTGGGTAGACAATTGTATTACCTAGAGTACCAAGTACCGAAACAGCTGTATGATATCTTATTTTGCTATAACTTAGAGCTTGTTTGGTAAAAAATCGCCTACAAAACGCCTCACCTACCGATTAGGCACGGGGTAAGGCGGGTCGGATTGTTTCAGCCTCAAAAGTTGACCCGCGTAGTGTGTATTCAATCATTCAAGGCGTTGTAGTGAGTATCAGTTGTGGGGCGGAAGATGAGTAACTTATAGGGCTTGGAAAAGTGGATACATCTATATCCCACCGGCCACCGGTGTGGGATAGTTCTATGGAAAAGGGGAAAACAAATTACGGAGTACATCGTATACACAATAAAATCAAACTTGAGGTACATCGTATAAAATCAAATTACGGAGAAAACAATTTTCGTGTAAGTAGGCAATCACGCTTCCATAATCCATATCAGCTCCAATTCATATTATGATTTATGAGTTGTTGACTTGTTGAACTTTTACTACGAGTAATATTTTTTGCTATACGAAATATGCTAATCGACTATATGGTACTATCTATTATTAATATTATCAATATTACAGTAGTAAAACTTATGAACGAAAAATATGCTTAAAGTGACTATAAATATATTCTTGTATTTAATACTAGAAATTTTATAAATGTAATTATAATCACTAAAAAATACTAAGTCACAGTTTTAACTATTGTCCTTTTTTGTTCATATATTAGGTATTATTTATTTCTATTAATATTAATATTTTATCAATAAACTGCTCTTTTCGGTTCTAGTTTTTGTGTAATTGATAAATTTATATTGTATTTGTTAGGTTTGGGACTCCTTCATACCTTTTTTTTGTTGAAAATGAGAACGTATGATGTTTTTGGATAACATTATTTAATATTAAATTTAAATATGTAAAATAGCTCTAGGAAAACTAAAATAAATGATTAGTCTAAAAACAGTGTTTGGTGAAAAAGTTGACTGATAAGCCTGATAAGCCAAAAACAGTGTTGCCAAACGGCTCTTAGACTTCTAGAACTTCAACCGGCCGGTATGTGGTTGCAGTGGTGAACCTATTATTTATATTTGGGGTAATTTGAGTTTGCACCCCAACCCCGTATGAAAGGATTAAAATGATCCTCATTCCTCCATTAATAGTTTTGTTGGTCTTCAACATATTCATGATCGGGGGCACTTTTGTCTTTTCATACGGGGTTGGAGGTGCAAAAACAAAGATTTTTAAAAATATGGTGTGAAGTCCAATTTGGACAATAAAATGAGGTGTAAACTCAAATTACCCCTTTATATTTGGGGTGTTCAAAATTACAATACTAACAAATAAACTACTCCGTATTACTCTAATTCATGCATATATATATATATATATATATATATATATATATATATATATATATATATATATATATATATATATATATATATATATATATATATATATATATATATATATATATATATATATATATATAGATTTAGGATCATGTGAAAATTTAATCTTAGGAGAGTAAAAAAGAATAGATATCAACCATTGGATTGACCCTTTTAAAATTAATGTTAAATAATACCGTAGTGGGTAATTTGGACATTTCGTTGTTTTCCTTCCGTTTATGTGTATTCTAACGATTTTACCTTCCTTTTTTTAGCATCTTTATTTACTTTCCATCAATATGACTTTTAATGTTTTGTACATACGCGTGTCTTCTTTTCTCTTTGTTCTTGATGCTGATTTTCCTTCTTTTTTTTTGTGCTACTACTTTCTTTGTAAATAACGGCCGTAAGTTACCAACATAAGTTTTCCATCATATGCTATTTTATTTATTTATTATTATTTATCTTTCCTTTTTCTTTTGAGAAATAAATGCAATTTTCACTGTTTTAAATGTGTACAATTGAATTTCTAATCATGCTACTTTTACACATTATTATAAATGTACTACGTTATCTTTTTTTATATAAATATATATCTTAATGATGAAAACTAAATATTCTGTATTAATCATTTTCTCACTTATTCATTCTAATTATGCATTTTGTACGCACCTTTTGTGAATTTGACAATTATGCACTTTTAGGCTTCTAATTTGCACTCTCGATTAATTGTGCACTTTTTAAAGTACATATTGCACTTATAAATGGTTTAGAATGCATTTAAAATTTATCACATATCATAGTGCACTTTTCCTCAGAAGAAAAAGCACATATTTTAAAGAACAATAAAATTATAACTCATGAATGTTGCACTTTTAATATATGCTTGTTGAAGTACACATAGGCTTCTAATATGCACGTTTTGAAGTAAATTGCATTTGTAGTGTTAACATGATGCAATTCTGATTTGTGCTACTCGATTTCCTAAGATGCACCATTTTGAGGGAGATAGTGCACTTTTCAAATTTCTCACTTTTAAATGAGGGAATGTACACATATAAAGTACAATAAAATTACAACAGGTGAATATTGCTAAATATTAGGAGCAGTAATAGTAATGGTGAGAAATAGTAATGATAGTTATAATATTTACATATTATAATGATTTGCAACGTAGAAAATCTTCCGTTTAGATTTAATGATTCGAGGTAAAAAAAGTGCACATACATGAGTTGAAATATGCACTAATATATTCATATAATGCAGAGTTCTATGAGCATTTAGTTCAGTGCTGATTTGAAGGGATTCTAAAATCATAATCAATTGTAATCTTTAATGATTTGGGTTTGGTTTTTACGTGCTTGCTCCTATGTTGGTAACAAATTGATTGTTATTAAGGAGCATTAATTACTTGCCTAATATACCATTCAAATTTAGACCTCAACCTACGTTAGTTTCATCCATCAGATCACACACATCAATGGATATTATTTGTTCTCATTTCTCTCCTGGGATGACGTTCTCACCGGAACCGTACCCTATATATATATATATATATATATATATATATATATATATATATATATAGAGAGAGAGAGAGAGAGAGAGAGAGAGAGAGAGAGAATGAATCTGATGCGAAGCTTAATAAGGCTGAAAAGTGAGAAGCAATTACAACCGTCCGATTAAAAGTTCATCAATGGCTCAATTTTAAAATTTCAAACGCTGACCATTTAAACATTAAGAAACTTGAACCATCCTCCTCGAATAGCGCCAAATTATTTACGCGCTGAAAAAGTTCTGAACTGCAACCAGAGACCGCCAATAAGCTTCTACTAAGTTCAATCGCCTACGACGGTAATCGCCGCCATTACAACGACCTTCAACCGCGCAACGACGGTAGTTAAACTAATTCAGCCGAGGTTCAATAGTGCAGTGAGGAACCGCAAAAGCTACGATGAATTGATTCACTTAAATCTAAAAGAGAAAGGCGCTAGGTTTTCTCGAAGGTATGTTGCTTTCAACATTGATTTTTTTTTCGAATAACTTCTTTATTTCTGTAAATACAACTTCGAAATGTAATAAATTATACAATCTGACCTAACTTGTACATTATTATTGAAATTTCTGTGTTTATTTCATGTTAAGTATATTCTTATATACGTAAAATCAAAATTGAAGAACCTATACGCTCTTTTGATAAGTATTGATGTTTAATTTGTAAAATTTTAAGAATTACAAGCAACTGATTGGAAGTTATAATTACTTTAATTTGTTTAGTTTCTGAAATGGGGAGATTGCAACTACCACGTTCCAAAGCAAATAAGAAGCTGGAATTCATTGCAGAAGAAGGTAGCCAATCTAATTTGCTATCTACTGTTGAAGTGAATGTTCCTGTTCTACAAGGTTATTTTAAATTTAAGTTAATGTATGTGGTTCATAATTACTTTAAGTAATGAAAATTGGTATTGAAGTAGTCAAATTTGTAATAAAAATGCAAGGACTTGCAAAAGAAGGAAATTCAAATTGGGGTACAATTAAGAAAAAGTTTTGTAGAACAAGGTAAGGGACACAAAGGGAGAAGCAGATTATGGATAATATGCAAAATAATATTCCTCAAAATCCTGTTGTGTCTCATGTAGTAGCAGAACAAGGTATGTGCTATAAGTTACTGCTTTTTTGTATAAGTTAGAGTATGTTATTTATTAGTTTCATATCACAATATAAATAATGCAATGTAGGAAAGATATACTATATGGTGCATTTTATTCAAAGTTATTTATAAGTTTTAGTAATAATAATGTTATTAATTTGAAATGTATAAATAATTGTGTTTATAACTGTATAATGCAACATAAGAAGACCATGTGTTATAAGTTATTGATATGAATGTATAAGTTCTGCTTTAGTGTTTATTAGTTTGAAACTAACTACACTAGTTAACCAAGCATAATTAAATTTACGGTGTTTATTTGTGTAAACTAATATGTTATTTTGATTTTAATAAAACGACATATGATATAAGTTATTCATTTATTTGAATAAATTCTTGTATTTTTGTTCAATTTTTTCAAATGGGAAAAGTTCTCAGCAGATATTCTGGTAGGATAACCAGGAAGATGTATGCTCAACAAATGCAAAAAGGAAGCCTTATTTCAGCCCTTGAAGGTATGGTACTGTTTGAAAAAGAATTTTTTTTAAAGGAAGATTTTGTGATGCAATAAAATTATTCTTCTTGTTGTAATTAAAGTTAGGAGAGAAACATAATGAAAAATCATTGCATGATAAGGATTAATGTTTTTAGCATGAAAGTTGTTTAGCATTTAATCACATAAAGCATCTTTTTTATTTGATAGAAATATTGAAGTAATATTGAATAAATATTAATAGTAGTGCAGCTGCGGAGAACAATGCAAAAAGAAAACGATGTAATAAATAATGAATATGAAGACAGTATAACAATTTATATTAAATCTTAAAATATCTTGATAAATTATGTTAAAGTAATGTAAATGAGTTAAAAGTAATAGTAGTGCATTTATAAGTGTACTTGTTAATTTGTTTATTACATTAACAGAAGAGTTGAACAAAGAAGGATCTGAACATGATAAGTCTTGTTCTGGTAAAAGTTTGAGTGATGTTGAGGAATCGGAAGGTAAACACCAAACATCCTCTTTTAATTTAAAATCGGGTTGACATGGTTTTACATGAATTTATTATTATTGCAGGGAAAGAGAACAATGAAGAGGAAACAGATGCAGTAAATGATGAAGATGGAGAAGGTATACTAATTTATTTTAAAAATGAATTAACATGATGACTAGTATTGTTAAAAGTAATGTATATGATCTAAAAAGTAATAGTAATGCATTTATAAGTGTACTTGTTGATTTTTTATAACATCAACAAAAGAGTTGAACAAAGAATGGTCTGAGCATGATAACGCTTGTTATGATAAAGTTTTGAGTGATGTTGAGGAACCAGAAAGTAAACACCAAACATCCTCTTTTAATTTAAAATCTGGTTGAAATGGTATTACATGAATTTTATTATAATTGCAGCGAATGAGAGCAATGAAGACGAAACAGATGCAGTAAATAATGAAGATCAACAAGGTATACTAATTTATATTAAAAATGAAATAACATGATGACTAGTATTGTTAAATGTAATGTATATGAGGTAAAAAATATAGTAATGCATTTATAAGTGTACTTGTTCATATTCTATAACATGAATAGAAGAGTTGAACAAAGAAGGACATGAGCATGATAAGGCTTGTTCTGATAAAGTTTTGAGTGATGTTGAGGAACTAGAAGGTAAACACAAAACATTCTCTTTGATTTAAAATGGGGTTGACATGGTGTTACATGGATTTTATTATTATTGCAGCGAAGAAGAACAATGAAGAGGAAACAGATGCAGGAAATGATGAAAATGAAGAGGGTATAACAATTTATATTAAATATGAAATAATATGATGACAAGTTCCGCTAAAAGTAATGTATATGAGTTAAAAAGTACTAGTATTGAATCTATAAGTATACTGTGTAATTTATTTATTGCATAAACAGAAGAGTTGAACAAAGAAGGATCTGAGCATGATCAAGTTTGTTCTGATAAAAGTTTGAATGGTGCTGGGGAAAATGAAGGTAAACACTAAACATCCTTTTTAATTCAAAATGGCATTGACATGGTACAATAATAAAAGTTTGTGTTTACATGGATTTTATTAATATTACAGGGGAGATGAACAATGAAGAGGAAAATGATACAGTAAATAATGAAGATGAAAAGGGTATAATAATAATTTATATTAAAAAGAAATAATATGATGACTATTTCTGCTAAAAGTAATGTATTTGAGCTTAAAAGTAATAGAAATGCATTTAAAAGTGTATCTGTTTATTTTTTATAACATTAACAGAAGATTTGAACAAAGAAGAATCTGAGCATCATATGGTTTCATCTGATAAAAGTTTTGAAGATCCTAAGGAACGTGAAGGTAAACAATACAAAAATCATGAATATTACTTTTGATTTGTTGTATTTCTTGGAATGATACAGTAAGTAAATATTATCTTTGAATTTTGTAATGCAGTTCAGAACATAAGAAGCAGAGAAAGTGATGATAATAGTGATTTTGAAGATGAAGTTGAAAGCGGTGAGCATACGAATTTGGCATCTGCCAAGGTAAAGTATGGTAGCAGTGACATTCCTACAACTTCTAAAACAAAGAGGAAAGCTTCATCCCAAAGAAAAGATAATCCCAAAAGGATTAAAGCTACAAGGTAACAATTTTGCATATGGCTCAATATATTAAATATTAAAGTTAATAACTTCAAAAAAATGTGAAACATTTTTATTAATTTTTTAGTAAATACAGAGTACATAATCCAAAGAATCTGGAAGCTGCGTGTAGACCTTACTGTTTGATGGAAGTTTTTGATGATTTGTCTGAAAAACAAGTCCAAGATATTCATGAAATTGGATTTGGAGGTTTATTGGATTGTCGTATAAGTCAAAGAATGAATAGTAGATTAGTGTCTTGGCTAGTGAAGAGTTTTGACATTGGTAGTTTTATGTTCACAATTGGATCTGGGAAAGAATTTGTAGTTACAGAAGCTGATGTACATGATGTGTTTTTACTACCATGGGTTGTTGGTAGTGATGTGGTGGAGACAGAGTGGGTCAGGAACACAAAGAAGGAAACAGAAAAGAACAAAGGTCAGTTGTTAATGATTGAGTGGAAAAGAAATTTTGTAGTGGGTGCTACAGGAAATATAAATTTAAACAAAGTAAGGGATGAAATAAAAGCTGAAAGGGAAGGTGGTGAACAATTTAAGAGATTGTTTGTATTGTTTATAGTTTCTCATGTACTGGCACCAACATCTAATAGGACAACTTCAATGAATTTGGTTCTTGCTTTAGAAGATGTTGGTAATATAAAGAAGGTGAATTGGTGCGGATATGTACTGAAAAAACTTGGTCAGGCAGTGGAGAGGTTCAAGAGAAATACTGAAAATAGCTTTGTAGGAGGTTGTATATTACTGCTACAAATTCTATATTTTCAAAGGTTAATGTTTAAAGGAGTACAAATATCAAAAGAATTTGAGTTCAGATGCAATCAAACAAAGGGTAAAAGAAGAAATCAAGGCTGGAGAATTTGGGAAAGGACCAGTAGATAATGACTATCCAATCTCAAGAGAAAGAGAAATTCTTTTTGAAAAAGAATATGAAAGAGCAGGGACAACAACTGAAATAGTTGTAAGCAAAGAGTGGTACATTAAATTTGAAATACCACAGGGTATGCCAACAGATAGTGAAATTGAGAGACAAGCAAAAGATGTGAGTAAACTTTATTAAAAGTTATCATGTGTTGTAAATGTATATGATAATAACTAATAAGCAATATGTTGATTTCAAATATAAATATTAGTTATTAATGTAACCTTTTGTACTTATATTGCTTTAGGAAAAAAGTAAAACTCTTATGCTTGTAAAGAGGGATGTTGAAGTAGTGTTCAGGGCTCATATATCTCCAATACAAGAATTGGACTCACAGGAACAAGCCAGCCAACCACAAAGCTCCCAATCAACAAATAGTTTTGATAAAATTTTTAATGATCCAAAAACTTATGAAATTGTGGATGCTGTTGTTGATTGGCTAATGGATCTGAAGTCAAGCACACATGAAGACAACACTGAAAAAGCCAATGAACTGGAAAATCATGAAGAAGTAAGAGATGAAGAAAACATAGAAATGGGGAATGTGGAAACAGAAGTGCAAGATACGCACAGGGAAAAAAGAGCAACTGAAGAGTGCATCACATTCCTGTCAAAGTTCATGCAAAATACAAGGTCTCATCTTTTCAAAAATACAGAACACTACGACAAGCATTTCCTGGATTACTGCTTTTATGAGAGTTCAATGGAGAAAGAGTATTAATCCATAACCTTGCATTATTTTAGATTATAAACTGATTATTATAATAACTACACACTTTCAATTTTTTTATAGTGGTCACAATATAGTTTGAAATAAGTTGAAATATTTTTTGACATTGTTTTATAGAGAGTTGATAGTGAGATTCAATGAGAGTCTTTCTGTGACAAGGGAAGATATGCTGCTCTTAGCTTCTGGAAAATTTATTTCTTCTGCAATTGTAAATTGTTGGGCATTTTATCTCAATGAACAGGAGTTAAAAATGGACCAGGAATATGGGAAGCGGTTCTATTTTTGCCTGTCACAATTAGTAAGTAAAAATATTTGGATTTATATTTTGTGATTATAGGGAAAATAACAAATTTATTTTTTATGTGAATGTGAAGGACATATTGACAAGGTTTATGCAAGAAGGGTTTGATATTGATATGAGAAATGCTCTCCAAAAAGATTCAGATGATTGGATTTCTTTGAATAGTCAGAGATGGGACATTGCCAAAGCAGATTTTGTAAGTATTAACTTTTAAAAATGTGTGTAAATGAATATCAAATAAAATGTAGTAAAATATATGTTTTATACATCTATTTGCAGATAGTGATTCCGTTCCTGTACAAGAAACACTATGCATCTTTTTTTATAAACACACTCTCAAAGAAGATACATTTAGTGGACTATAAAAAACATGCAGACTTGAAGTGGCATAAAAAAGTTGCTGATCTACTGGTAAAAGTTTACATTTTCTTATTAATAGTGATTAGTTGTGCATGTATTTCTATTAATAACAGGGAAAAAATCTTAATTGTTAATTTTAATACAGTGCACAGAGATGTCACTTTATTTGAAAAAGAAGAACCACCCAAGGGCAAATGAAATGAGAAGGTATGAATTTGAAGATGTGGACTTTGAATGGAAAACCAAGAAAGATAGTAATGAATGTGGCTTGTACCTGCTCATGACAATGTACTTATTTGAGGGAGTGCGTTTTAATTACACTCTTAATAAGGTAAGTTAATTTTGTTATTAAAGTTGATGTTATATTAATTTTGTTTTGAATATGTAAAATGAACTAGTAACATTTTGTATACTAGGTGGAAGACAGAAAATTTCATCGTGCAGAGATTTGCTTGTTACTTGCAAAATCTGAAGGAAATGATGTACTAAATGAAGTTAAGAAGAAGGTTGAGCACTTCATAAAAATGAAGAGCATAAAAGAAGGGAAAAGGGTGTCAAAATAGCTTCAAACAATTGGATTGTTATCAACAATGGTTAATGTTTGAATGTATTTGAACTAGCTACTACTTAATAGTTCATTTCATTACCTCTGCAGTTTACCTTTTCCATACGATTTGGTAACTATGCGATTTGCTTCAGCTGGTCATTTTGTTTTGGCCTTTGGCACTTCAGCCTGTCATTTATGGCTTTTGTTTCTCTTGTTGAATTTCAGTGATTTCACTTGATTATATATGTTTGAAGCAAAGATTGAACTATCTTCTTAAACCTGGATTTCATTCTTATTATTTTATTTTAGAACTTCCCATGTTTCTATGTGTTTTACTCAGTTTGATGTTTATTTTTATTTACATTTTGATGGGGATGTGGTGTACGATGATGGTGCAAGAACAATTCATGATGATGACGTAGGAGACAGAGGACTGACTATAATTTCATTATTAGTATTGTTGAAGTTTTCCCAGAATTTGGAATACATGAGAATCAGTTCAATTTGATGAGTGTACAAACATGTATATAGAGTATAGACATATTTTAAAATTAGAAGGAACGGTAAATGATACCTTTAACCTCACAGGACTAGAGGAGAACAATGAAGAGGGTATAATAATTCATATTAAAAATGAAATAATATGATGACTATTTCTCATAAAAGTAATGTATTTTAGCTTAAAAGTAATAGAAAAGCATTTAAAAGTGTATTTTGTTTATTTTTTTATAAAATTAACAAAGAAGAATCAAAGCATCATATGGTTTCATCTGATAAAAGTTTTAATGATACTAAGGAACGTGAAGATAAACAATACAAAAACCATAAAATTTTCTTAAGAGTATTATTACATTTGAAATGGTAAATTTTAAGATAATTACATTAATAGCTACCAATGAAAAGCTATTTTGATTTGTTGCATTTTTTGGAATGATACAATAAGTAAATTTTTACTTTGAGTTATCTAATGCAGTTGAAAACATTAGTAGCAGAAAAATGCAAAACAACCTCATATATCTTAACTTATTTTCTTTAGTAGCAAACTTTAATTTTGAAGTTATTTTCAATGCTACGTATGATCTCACTACAGTTATTTTGTATTGCACTCTGCTTTTGCCAAACCAACATAAGAATATAATAGATACTTGACAAAAGCTCCCAAGATAAAAACTATAATAGATACTTAATACTTTGAAAACCATCAATTATGGTAAAAGTGTCATTACAAGTATGATTCACTTGCTATCAACTCAAAATAAAAGGAAATTGACTTAACACACTAACAACTAAAAAAGACAGCAACACGGCAGAATGCAGAAACTGCAGTCCATATAAAATTCAAATTGCACTTCAAATTAAATTGGGAAACACGGCAAGAGGCGCCAAGTAGAGATGAGTCCAGTCTATCAACAACTGCAAAAAATGAAATAATAGCAGTTAGGAAGTGTAAAATAGTTAGCAAGTTACAAACTAGAAGAAGTGGCTAGAACAGTTTTAACAATAATTTGGTAAAATGCAAAACTAAAGCAATAAAAAAAATTAAACTTCGGTTCAGAACTTAGAAAGACAGCAAGAGGCATTAAGTGGAGACGAGTCCAGTTTATCAACAACTGCAAAAAAATAGCAGTTAGGCATTGAAAAGTTACAAAAAAAAATAGTAAACATGGTATTACCTTGAAGAAGTGTCACATTCTTTATTAGGACATTTTCTACTATCATGGAAACCAACTTCACCGCAAGATTTGCATGTTCTTGGCTTCTTGGCTTGATCCTCTGTCGCACAAGCATCACTCTTATCCACATTACTTGACCTCTTCTCAAGTATAGCTTTTTCATGCTCGCTAATCATTCTTTTTTTCCCGCCTTTATTAATAGAAATCTTGGGAGGATGAATACTATATTCTGATGAAGAGCTGATACCTAAGAGGCTTTCAATGTCATTTGAACCTTTTCCAACATCATTGGAAGTATGTTTTGAAAGAATTAAGCCTTTGAAAGATTCAACCATGTTCAATAACTTCTGCAGATCATCATTTGAACTCTCAACAAGAGAAACACAACTGAAAAAAGAAGACCAAAGATCACCCACCAATTTATTTTTAGAATCAGCAGCACATCCATCCAAGATGTTCCCAAAACAGTCAAATATAGGCTTTTCCAAAGCTTTTTTTGTCCAACGATTCAGTATATATTGACTGGGCAGCTCCCGAACACCCTTACCTTTTATAATGAACAGAACATGACGGCACAATAAACTTTCCCTCTGAAACATCTTGCAAGAGCAAGAACTATCATGATCAACGGGGTTATATGTAACTTCATATGTTTTTTCACGAAGAATATCAACAACAGAAACATGATCACAGCTGAATTCATCAGTGGTGAAGCGTTGAATACCACAAGAAAAACACGCAGCTTTCCATTTACTTTGAAACAAGTAAAAAACAGTGAGGGTGTAAAGTTCAGAAGCATGCTTCTCAAGTGGTAATGGTGTGAGCAATTGAGGAAATGATTTTTTGGAATTAGCATGCAACTGGTCATGGTGATAACGTTGAGACTTTATGGCAGTTTGAAAGCGAGATGCAAATTCAACCAAAGATAGGAATGGGTTTAAGAAGTGGCCAAAAAAGTTATTTTCACTCTCTGATCTTTGAGTAGATCTTAAAATACCACCTAAAAATACATCTCTGAAATAGGCAGGAATCCACATTTCTCTAATATCAAACAAATTCACAAATCAGTCGTGTTTCTGTAATCCAAAATTAGCCATAACAGCAACCAACCAACAACAAATTCATCCGGTTCTAGTTCACGATTCCACACAACAGCATTCAAACGGAGAAGAAAATCAGTTTTATCACAAAGTTTATACCCAACTTTTTCACGGACTTTTTTTCATTATGTGCCACATGCAAAGCCTATGTTTTGCTTTGTCAAAAACTCTGAGTATAGCTATTTTCATAGCAAGGTCTTGATCTGTCACGATACTTATAGGCTGACAACCACCCATACACCGCAAGAATGTATCAAAAACCCATGTATATGAATCAACATCTTCATTAGCAATCAAAGCAGACCCAAAGATAATACATTTACGATGGTTATCTACCCCAGTAAAAGGTGAAAAAACCATAGAATATTTATTCGTAGAAAACGTGGAATCAAAAGTAACCATATCACTAAACAATGCATAATGTTTCCTACATAATGCATATGCCCAAAAAACTCTAGTCAATCTCTGTGTAACACCCCGGCCCCGCAGGACCCGAGGTAGTTACTCTAACACACCCTCCAGACCTTTAGTACTGTCCTCACAAACCGCCACTAGCCTTTTCCGCGCACTTTGTCCTCACTCGTGCGCGCCCTGAGAAACTTCCCAGGGGGTCACCCATCCCAAGACTACTCCCGTGCAAGCATGCTTAACTTTGGAGTTCTTAGCTAATGAGCTCCCTTAAAAGGAGATGCACCTTGTTGGTATGAGTAGTACTATTAATCTGTTTAATTTAAATCTCAAGTATTACACTCTGAGTCTCATCAACAATATAATCAAAAAAGAAACCACTTGAATGAGCTACCTTTTGCCTAAAAGACTCAATAAACATATGCACATCTCCATATTTAACATATGTCTTCAAATCACGATAACAGTTCTTAAAATCAACTAAAGAAGCACCAATGTTTGCATACCCACCGACATGTTCTTTCATCATATGAAAAGACAAACTTTCTCCCTTGTTAAGCTTTGCATTGTCAAAAATAAATTTCTTATGAACCACAGTCATATTACGGTTTTGCTTTTGAAACATTTGACTCTTCGGAGTAGTAAACTCATGTGTATGTGGCTCATGAAACCAGTATACTGTATATGAACCAAAAGAAGAAAAACGGACTTTCATACGAGCATGACAGCCCGTTCTCTTTAAGGTAGTTCAGCGAGGTGCACTTTTACCAAATTTCTCTTTTTCATATTTAAGCACACGCTTTTGGTTACTGTCACCATCCTCTTTAAAACCTTGTTTGTTGCATAGAAAATATTTCCTTAAAACAGTACCATCTCGATGTTTATTATCACTTCCTATCCGCACTTCAAATCCACACATCGAAGCATACTGATTGTAAAAGAGCTTAGCATCTCCTAAGGAAGACAAAGTCATACCAACAACAGGTTTATAATCGGGAGGGCAAGCTAGAATCCATTCTTTAGAAGAAAAGGAAGTGCTCAAGAATGGAGTTGAGTTCACAGTTGAGTTCACATCAACAACATCAATATCATCAACTTGATCCATTATACTGAAAAGCAATAAACATTAATTCAAAGCAATATACATAGTAATTGGAAATTGATGTTGTTTGTCAACTAAAAAACTTTTAATCAAATAACAATAACTATTAAATCAAAATACATAACTTTTATTGAAAACTCTGGTCTAAAGGTTAGAAGCTTTAAATTTTAATAAAAATATAAAATTAAGAGGACAAAACTATAAGTATATAGAGAAAGGTTTAATAAAAAAGTAGTCAATGAGTTTAATTCGTTATTCATAAAATTACAATTTGGCTCGAATGAATTAGGGTTGAAACAGTCTAACAAACACTTGATAGGCATAATATATAGTTTTGATCGAGTTATGAAACAAATAAGACATCAAAAAAGTAACGAGCAAAAGTGTTTGTAGAAAGATAGTTGAATCGAATATCATAATTTAGGATTCAAAAAATCAAAACCAAATTCCAGGTAAAAATGCATAAATTGAATAAGATGAGAGAAGACTTTAGTACTTCAGATTAGGGAAAAAGAGGATGATTCGGACTTCAATATGTCTTCGATTGGAAGTCGTCGTCAACAAAACTTTGCTCTTTCCTCTTGTACGGTGCTGGAAATAACTACAACGTATAGGTCATAAACTTCATGGATGAAACGACATAGCCATCGAATTGAAGTTCGAGGGAGAGACGGAAACAGAGACCTTTAGCAAAAAACATATATAGTTCATGAAAATTACAAATATGTCATTAATGAAATAATTGTGATGATGTGAGCGGAAACAATCATACGGCTGAAATAGGTTGATCGTGTGGTCCAGAATGGTTCTCACTTTTCAGCCTAAATGACACTTCTCATGGGATCTTCTCTCTCTCTCTCTCTCTCTCTCTCTCTCTCTCTCTATATATATATATATATATAAGTTTTGGTTCAAATAAGAATGTGATTTTAGGAGCTAAATGAGAATGAATCTG